CCCCAAAACCCCAAAACCCCAAAACCCCATAGAATCGAATCAAGGATGGGTAAAGATTAGATAAACATATTAATAAATTAGATAAAAAACAATCATAAAAATTTATTACCTAATTTTAAAGCAACATGGTAGATTCTACAGATGATACTGGAGGTAAATAGCCATAGTTTTTCATTAAATCAATTCTAAAGCTGGCATGTCTAGAAACAATAGAAACTTTGGGAGCATCTAGGTTGCATCATTCGACGGACTGAAGAAGAAGGACGAAGAAAAGAAGGAAGTAAGAATCCCTCTAAATATATTCCGCATTCTTTATTAATTCCTACTAATTTATAGACATAAGGTGGATTGAGTCTTAGCTTGGCAGAGAGAAGACGTGGACAAGGCATCAAGGTAGGAGTTCTTGAAAATCCTCTCGGCTACTAAAGTAAGATAATATTTTAAGACCAAATTTTTGCGAAATCGATTCCTAATTTGAAAACTGTAGAGCATCAAAGCGAGATAGTTGATCACATAAATACCGAGGAACTGAGGATACCAGTGGCAGACTCTAATAAAGACCGTGATTTAATGAGTTTGAGTGTCAATTCTCCATAAAGTGCATAGTAAAATTGATTATATTTTATTAATCTATGCGAGTGTAGATATGGAAGTAACTTAGACAATGATGGGCCTGTTTTCTTGGAGGAATATAATAAACTTTACGATTAATTCAAAGTTCTGCCATTGGTCTTGGAAGGTCCAGAATTAGACTCAGACTACTCGTACTTTTTGGTGGATAAGTGCGAAGAACTCAAGGAACTTGAGAAGGCCATCCCCTTACAAAACTACGAGGAGGAGAGTCAGGACAGAGATCCTGAAATGGAGTTTCGACTTCTGACGAGAATGAATTGCCACAAGATTCATTACTAGAATTTATTCAAAAGCCAAAACTTAGATTTCAAGAGAAAAAATCGATACAATGAGGTACTCCCATTTTCGCATTCAATGGTTAAACTTAAAGAAGCCAAGGATAAGGCCGATAGATATGGATACTATATTAATGCTAGTTATATCAATGTAAGCATAGACAGCATTTCAAAGAGATAGTTCAATTTATTACCTCATATTCTTTTTGATACTTATTAATATTTACCTTTAGACCCAGCTTAATTCTGATAAAGGTAGAAAAGCATTCATTGCAGCAACAGCTCCGTTACCATCGACAACAGAAGCATTTTGGCAGATGATTTAGGAAAACAATGTAGACCTTGTAATCATGCTATGCTAGGACCAGGAAAATGGAAAGGTATGTTAATTCACTTAGCATTATTATTGAATCAACATTATACTTAACATTTGTATAGGATATGAGTTTCAGGTATTATGATAAAAGCGATGAAGCTGAAAGCGAATCTATAACGTTTGATGGAGTTGAGATATAAATATAATCCAAGAGCGAAAAAATAGAAGGACTAGTCAAAAGGAAGATTCTTGTGAAGAGAGGAGGACAGGAGAGTATAGTGACTCATTTGCAAGAGACCAAATGGGAAGATAATCATGCACCTGATCACAGTTGTGAAGTTGGGGTATTTGAGAGAATAAACCATCTTATCAACAAATGCAAGAAAAATCGCGATAAGAATCCGTAGGGCAGTATTCTCGTACATTGCAGGTATGCTTTCTGAATAAATAATCTTTAATGCTAGTGCTGGATGTGGAAGGACTGGAACTTTAATAGGATTATACAGTATTTTGGAAAGCATCAGAAGTTAAATAGATGACAGGACCCAGGGTTTGATAAATTCAGGGTAAAATGTAAGAGAATCCTACCCAGACCCATATTACCTTGACTCTGAGGGCAAATCGCAGGAAAGAGTCAGTATATTTAGTGCTGTCAGAAGAATCAGGGAGCAGAGATGGAACCTTGTGAAGAACGTAGAGCAATATAAATACATCTACTAATTCACAAAGGAGTGGATTAAAAATAACTAGCAGCTTTTAAAGCGAGGCTGAATTAGTTAACCTTTAAGAATTATAGGTTCCTTAATTTTTATTCTACCCTTTTATTAACTATTATTAATGCATACTAATTTCATCTTTTGGGGTTTTGGGGTTTTGGGGTTTTGGGGTTTTGGGG